TGGGGGCAGGACATTTTCCAGTCAGTTCCACCCGTTGTGCATCTGGGGTTTGTCCCTCCTTTCCCGATATGACCCCTGAGTCTTTTACCTCTTGCTGTACCAGCTGGGCCTTGCCTCTGCCAGCCTCAAGCGTGGTATCTTGGATGATCTGTAACATCTGCTCAGTGGTGCTACCGCCCCCTATGGTCCCTAGGCACCCGTATAGCATCAGCATAGGAAATGACCCTCTTTTGGGCTTTGGGTGTCCATTTCCCCCACATCTTAACCACAGGAGTGACCAATTGCAGGTGCATTATGAAAACCCTGGGGACTCTGGTGAAACACAACTGTTGTCCCCTGGAAGTGAACCCAAATTTGTACCAGGACTCAGGGTGCAAGGAGATGGCAGAGAAGGTGTTTGCTAAATCTGTCACTGAGAACCACTCTCCTACTGCAGTGACTCCTTGGTACTTGGCCACTCCCGGGGCAGGGGCAGGGGCAGGGGCAGGGGCAGGGGCTACTGCGTTTAATGCTCTAAAATCCACTGTCCTTCGCCAGGTCTTCCCACCCCCTTTCAGTACAGGCCCATCGGGGCATTATTAGTACTCGCCATGTGCCCAATAACACCCTGTTCTAACAAACGTTCAGTGGTGGATTTGATCCCTTCCTCTGCTTCCGGAGGATACTTGTACTGACGCTGTGGAGGGGGGTGAGGCCCTCCAATTCAAACCTCAGCATCCATTTTCCCACACTCCAGTTTATTTTCAGCCGATACCCCAGGAAACTTGTCCACTTCTGGGTCCCCTTCTTCTGCTTTCCCTCCTTCCGGGGCCTTTACAGCCCACACCTACGTACAGCATTCATGGAGGGGGTGGGTGTTTCTGCTGGCTCTTCACTATTTGCCCATAGGAACCCGTTGGCTAAGTCCACGATGTGTCTCCCCTCATTAGGGTACGACGTTCCCAATACTCCATCCTCCTTACCCCCATTCCCAGTTTGATCCTGTTTCTGAACAAGGTATTTTACCCATGACTCCCGATTCCCTGTGTGGGTCAGGATCGGTCCCGTGATAGACGCTTTCATTGTCTCCCCTGTATAGGATGCTAGTTGTGTTGAATTTTCTGTTTCCTCAGCGTCCCCGGGAAGCCACTGCTCTCCAAGCAGATATTGATGCACCGGTGTCAGTTAGCATAGCGGGGCATGTTTGTTCCCCTAATCTCCCCATTATTGCCCCTACAATGGGACGCCCCCCACTTGTCATACTGTAGTTGGGCCACTACCTCAGGGGGACTCCGGGGAGGCGGGCACCCCTATTGGGGTGGTGCCAGTGCTTCGGGGTCCGTTCTGGGAGCTACAGGAACCTCATCAATCAATTCCTCTCGCCTGTCTGACTGGGCAGCCCTCTGCAGTAACTCACTTGTGGGCTTCTCGTCCCACTTCTCTTCTGGTTCCCCTGCCATCACGAGCTTCCTCCACGCCTCCCCTCTCAATGTACCTTTCCCACCTTCAGCCGGACATCCTCTGTTCTGCATCTGATACCCACGTCCAGATCCATTTCTTCCTCTGGTTCCTCTGCTGCCCAGTGCATCTCCCCGTCCTCTTCCTCTAACATGCCATTGTGCATCGGCCCCTGTTCCCCCCGGCTCCCCTTGGAGATCTGGGGGCCCATTGTCAGCAAAAGTTACCGCCTGAACAGGCTCCATTCTCCCGTCCCTATTTCCTTTTCCCGCTTCTCCCTGCATGTCTCGAAAAACTACAGCTGCTCCAAAAATCTCCTGTTTCAACTCCGAGTATCCCCTCACTGGATCTATGGGTCCTAAAATCACTCTCGTTCCTGAATTCAAACCATCTAACAATGCCGGCTGAAAAGCTAAAGTATTGAAATCCGGTGGAGTTCCAGTTCCTACTGGCACAACCCGGCAGCCATGGCCAGTATCTCCTTTTAAATAACATACAATTCCGGGGAGTCACAGGGGCCTGTTCTGTGACATGGAACAATTTCCCCGGTTGTCGGGCCGACATCCCTACCTTCATTGCTTCCTTCGCCCAGCCCCCTCCAGGGGCAGGAACACCGTTCGCACCTAACCGCCCCTCAGCACTGCGTACTGCTGCCCAGGCAGAAGTGCTAGAACCTCATCATCTGCCGACCACCACCCGGTTCATGCCAATACCTTCCCCATCCTGTCCAGACACATGTCCCTTTCTAGGGGCCCACTAACGGAGCAGCCACCTGTACCTGGTCTGGGCTAAAATCAGAAAACTCGGTCATATTTTGCCTTATTTCCCTTCGTCGTTGTACATCATTTGGGTCAAGTTCTGTTCTTGTTACCGCCCTTGTGGTAACTGCAGCCACAGGATTGATTTGTGCTTTTAATTTCAAACCCTGCAAGTCCCTTTATGCAGGGGCGTAGGGCCCCTCAGGGGAAGCATCGGGGGCGTATGAGCATCCAGGATCTTTCTCTTCGGAAGCCATCCAACTATCCCCATTCCAAGTGTCCTCCCAGGTGTCTGTATCCCCCAGGCCCACACTCACGCCTCCCCCGGGCCCTTCCAGGCTCCCAACACGATTTCCAGTTTCTCTGTTCGCTGCCTACAGACTGTGTGGTCACTGCCTGTCCGGGCCCGAGCCGTATTTTCCTGTAATACTGTTCTGACAGCGGCCTGAGCAACCCCCAGCTTCATCTGCAGTGTAGATCCCTCCCCGTTCAGGTTCTGTACTTCCAGTTTCAGTTGCTCCCACTCTCTTGTTTCCGCCTGAAGAGCTGTTACACTGTGTAATGCTGAAATGGCACTGGCCCACTCAGATGCCTTATACTGAGGCAAATTATCCTTAATGACATCCAAATCGAGTCTGGAATCCTCCAGCTGCCTTTCCTGGAGCGCTACCAGGCTGGAGAGATTAGTGACAGCTTTGCGCAATTCCCACCCAGCGGTGCTTTCCTAGCCTTTTCCTTTGGTTTTGGCTTCATGCACTCACCGAATGCTTCAAACCCCTTCCAGGCGGACTCAAGGGCATCCCTCCCCTGGAAGGAATCTTGTCCCCAGGGCATGGACCCCGTTCCGCTACCCATTTAGCAAGGGGAGGGGGGGCTCTTCAGCTAACCCCCACCCCTCCTGGTCACTTTGCTTTGTTTCCTTTCCCTCCTGTTGCTTCAGGGTGAACAATCTGCCGAGCAGGTAGCAACACTTTTTGACAGAGTATCACCGGTATTCTGCTGCTATTACTGTGTAGGCTAGATCAGTTCGGGCCACACGACCTTAGGCTGCCCGCATTCTCCACCAAATCTGTTACCCGCACAAAATTCTCTGTAACTCACACCCTCCAGGGGGCACCCACCCTTACCCAATTTCAGGGGCTATGGGCGTACTCTTAGCGGGTCTGCAGCACCTTTTACCAGAGAAAGAGCCTTACACAGTAATATTCTTCACCTCTATTTATTAACAATTACCAAGAAGCAGAATGCACATACGAAGCATACAATGCTCTGGTCACCAATCCTGATCAGGCAAGCGGACTTTCCCTGTTGGCCAGGCAAGGTCAGTCTCGTAGGGATTCTGGTCGTGCAGAGAATTCTTAGCAGCAGTGATCTTAGGCTGTGTCTTTGAGGTGAGTTCTTCTTTCTGGTCTTTCCTCTTCCTTCTTCTTCTTCTTCTTCTATTTCTTCTCTGCTCGTCTCCTTCATGGACCCCAGTTTATACAGTGAAACTTGAGTCCTGCCTACTGTACCTTAACCAATCATTTTACTAAAATGTTACAAACCAATCCTAACATAGTGTAACAAAATTCTCTAACTAATCATCCCCCACCACCTTCATTAATTTACAGCCAGCCAAATTAATTATACAGCAGACAGAAACAAGCGAAGAACCAGGCAGAGATCATACAGACAAACAGTCGGGAAGTGGGGACCATAAAGATAAAACAATAAAGAAATGAGCTACTGATAAGTGGTTTCTTGCCAGACAGGATGTACCAAACTAAGTTTTCTGTAACCATCTTAAGATCGGTTTGTGTATCCGGTGATAGTGGGGCCGTTAGGACGGGGTCTCCTTCTTACCAGCCCGATGGAATGTGAGGATGTGACTTTCTACAGACAAGGGCTGTATCCTTACAGGCCCGTGGGGTGATCCAGGGTAGTGGGGAAGGGTTGACAGAGGTGACAGGTCAGCACTGGCCAATCGTTCCACTGGCCTCTCTCTGCCCCCAGCTCTGGGAGGGGAGTGGGGTGGTCAGAGCAGGGGGTCTGGGAGCCAGGACTCCTAGGTTTTCTCCCTGGCTCTGGGAGGGGAATGGGGTCTAGTGGTTAGAGCAGGGGGAAGGGGGCTGGGAGTCAGGACTCCTGGGTTCCCTCGCTCTGCGTCTATCCCAGCTCCGCCCCTCTCTCCCCAGGGTTCTCGCTGGGCGCCACGGTGCAGTCGCACACCAAGGGCATCTGGATGTGGTGCCTGCCCCACCCCCGCCGGGCCGGCCACACCCTGGTGCTGCTGGACACCGAGGGGCTGGGCGACGTGGAGAAGGTGAGTGGGGGGTGATGGGAGGGCAGGGCTGGGTTTCGGCTCTGGGGATCCAGGGACACCTAGGGGGATCAAGAACCCTCTGGATGTGGGAAGGGGCTCTGGGCCTGGAGGTGGGTGGCCCAGGGGTCAGCATAGGTCAGTCTCCCCTGCCCCATATCCCCCCACCCCATCCCTCTGCAGTGGGGTCTGGTGGGCCATGCTCCCCACCCCCGACCTGCAGGGGAAGTTCCGGCTCCCTGCCCCATATCCCCCGTCACAGACTCCCAGCCCCTGTGGCTCTGTACAGCCCCTGGGAGGAACCCCCCAGTGTGACAGCCCTTCTCGGGGGTTCACTCACGCTCCGGGTTAGGCCCTCTGACCTCGCCACCTCCTGGGACCGCACCTCTGCCGTGGATCCTCTCAGGCAGTCCCCTCGCTCTGGCCCCCGGGGCCCCCACCCCCAGAGGGAGCAACGCCCCCCGATCTCTAGCTGCAGGGACTCTGCCAGCGTCACACAGGAGATGTATTGAGCGTCTGGACCCAGCCCAGGCAGTTCTCAGGGCCCTCGGGCCTGGCCAGTCTCAGCCCCGGCCAGCTGGGTCTGTCCAGTCCCCATAGGTCCGGCTGCTCCTTGTCCCCTGCCCAGCCCCACCCCGCCCCCTCCTTCCAGCCCAGCCCCCTAAATCCCCTCCCCCACCCGCCCCTCCTCCGCCCTTTGTCTTCAGTCCCAGGTGAACAGGCCGCTGGGCCCCTCTCTGCCGTCCTTTGTTCTCCCCTGGCTGGACCCGGCTGGTCAGGTCCCCGGGCCCCCCTCTCCTCAGCCCATTGACCCCCCACTGGCCAGAACCGGCTGCTCCCGAGCTGGGCTGGGCCCCCTGGTCACCAGTCGCTGGGTCCCCAATCTCCAGGCCGGTGTCCGCGGTCCCGGCTGCTAGGCGAGGTCACACCTGGTCCCCTGCAATTAAAAACCCCTTCCCCCACCTCGTTACACACGCAGCACACAGGGAAACTGAGGCACACACAGTGTTCACGTAAAACACTAAGAAAATCCCCCACTTCGTCACACCCCACAACCCTGCTTCTCTGCAGTGGGGTCTGATGGGCCGTGCTTCCCTGTGTGACCTGCAGGGGGAGCTCCAGCTCCCTGCCCCATATCCACCCTGCCCTGCTCCTCTGCAGTGGGGTCCGACACTGCCGCCCTGCGATTTCCCCCCTTTATCCTCCCCGCAGGGCGATGCGAAGAACGACGTGTGGATCTTCACGCTGGCCGTGCTGCTCAGCGGCACCCTGGTCTACAACAGCCTGGGCACCATCGACCAGCGTGCCCTGGAGCAGCTGCAGTATCCTGCCCCTGCTGGGAGGGACCCAGGAGTCCGGGAGGTGGGGGCAGCTGGGATTCCACTCCCATAACTGGGTAGCACCTGTCGCACCCTCTTGGGAGCAGGGGTGTGGGGTGGGTGCCAGGAGCAGTGCCGTTCCTGGGGCAGCGGGGTGAGGGCTGTGGGTGCTGGGCTCAGGGACCCCCTGTGGGGGGCGCTGCGTCTCCAGTTCCTTAGCTGGCCCCCAGCTACGTGACGGAGCTGACGGAGCACATCAAGGTGAAGGTGGCAGGTGAGGGCGGCCGGCAGAAGGGGGAGGATTCAGCTGAATTCGTGCACTTTTTCCCGGCCTTCGTGTGGGCCGTGCGGGATTTCACGCTGCAGCTGGAGCTGGACGGGCGGGAGATCACCGAGGACGAGTACCTGGAGAACGCCCTGAAACGCAGACAAGGTGCAGGGCGGGGACTGGGCTGGATGGGTCTCGGGGGGCAGGGAGGGGGCAAGATATCAGCGTAAATGGCCCCATGGGTCTCCTCTGGGGGGTGGATACCAGGCACATGGGTCTGACCCTGGGGTCTCTCCCAGGCCAGCCCGAGAAGCTGGATCTGCCCAAGAAGTACTTGCGCCAGTACTTCCCCTCCCGCAAGTGCTTTGTGTTCGACCGCCCGGCCCCGCGCTGCGACCTGGCCCGGCTGGACGAGCTGCCCGAGGCAGCGCTGAGCCCCGACTTCCTGGAGCCGGCGCAGCGCTTCTGCAGCCACATCCACCAGCACGCGGGCACCAAAACCCTCCCCGGCGGCCACGTGGTGACGGGCACCTGTGAGTGGGGATCGGGGCGCGGCTCTTGGGGGAGGATCGGGGCATGGCCCTCCGGGGATGGTGTGTCCCAGGGGCAGGGGATGGGGATTGGGACGCATATCGGGGGCAGGGGATCGGGAGTGGAGCACGTTCTGAGCGGGGCTGTGGACAGGGGATGTCAGTGCAGGAGGAGGGAAGTGGGCGCATCCCAGGCTGGGGTATGTGCTGCAGGGTCAGGTCAGGACCGGGGCTGCTGGCCAGGGCAGGGAGCTGCTGGCCGTTTGGAGGAGTCCAGGGCCAGTATGGGCAAGGCCTGGGTGGAAGGAGGCTGCCCCTGATCCCCACCGGCCACGCTGGGCCCCCTGGCGCTGCCCCTACCCCTCCGGCCGCGCTGGGTCCCCTGGCGCTGCCCCTGATCCCCTCCGGCCACGCTGGGCCCCCTGGCGCTGCCCCTGATCCCCTCCGGCCGCGCTGGACCCCCTGGTGCTGCCCCTGCTCCTCCGGCCATGCTGGGGAACCTGGCGCTGCCCCTGATCCCCTCCGGCCGCGCTGGGCCCCCTGGCGCTGACCCTACCCCCCTCCGGCCGCTCAGGGCCCCCTGGCGCTGCCCCTGATCCCCTCCAGCCGCGCTGGGCCCCCTGGCGCTGCCTCTGCCCCTCCGGCCACGCTGGGAACCTGGCGCTGACCCTGCCCCTCCGGCTGCGCTGGGGAACCTGGCGCTGACCCTGCCCCTCCGGCAGTGCTGGGGAACC